ATCGGCACCACCGCTCAGTCCCTTCGACTATCTTACTCCAAGTCTATCGCTAAGCCCATCCCACGTCGTCACGCCACCTGTCACTTGGGCTCATCAAGCCTGTTCGACGTCGCGGACCTCGCGCAACATTGCACCCGAGATCAAAGAACTCTATCGCTAAGCCCCCCCCGCGTCGTCACTCCGCCCGTCACTTGGGCTCATCAAGCCTGTTCGACGCCGCGGACCTCACGCATAGCTCGCACAACACTGCACCCGAGATCAAAGAGAGAGAGAGGAAGGGGTTGCGAAAATTTATAGCGCGGAAGGCGGCGGAGAGCCAACGCGAGGTGCGGGTAGCACGGGGTGTAGATGAGAAGGACAGAAGAAGGGCCGAGGTTCCAAAAGGATCGAAGGAGGCGAGTCGAACGATTTGCGTGATTGGGGTGGTCGTCCAAGTGGTGCGCGTCTTCCGCTCTCACCACATTGATCCGACCATCCCAATCACACAGCCAATCGTTCGCGATGATGGGTAAGGAGAGGATCAGACTTCGCTCGAGGGAAGGCGAAGAGGCATGCAAGAAGGGAATGCGCGGCAAGAAGGGAAGATGGCACGGGGATGCAAAGCGGGAGAAAGGGTTTACGCGGAGCGCAAACATTTGAAAAACAGCCACGCGCGCAAAAAAATCAAAATTCCTACCCACATTAACTCGTAACTGTTTCTTGGATTTCTCGGCGCGGCCGCTAACCGGCCACGCGAGAAAGACATCAGGGGCAGTCCTGAAAAAATAAGTTTCTGTTCCGTCCCTCTTCTCTTTTCAAGAAAAAATAAGGAAAAGAAAAATAAACCCCGTTCTTCCCAGTCATCTAGAATCCGTACTTCGAGGCTTTACGTGGGATTTTCCCCTGAGGGCACGGGAAGCCGCTGAGTACGGATCCTGGCTTATCACACGCCAAGCATGATCATTCTTTGTTTTTTTCCTATGAGCACCAGCGCAGGTCGGTCAGACAGCGAATATTCCTTAAATCCTTCCCTAGGCAGTGTCTAATGGTTCTACCCTGACCAAGGTCTTACTTGAGACAGCCGACCTATCTATGGCCCACAGAATGTGTAGTTTTCAGATTGCTTTTCCTGGTTCAAATGCAAAACCACATTGTGTTTTTCCAGTAATTTATATCCGGTCGGGTTGAGCTTATCTTCTTCTTCTTCTTCTTTTTTCAAGAATCCTCGATGTTCCAGTCTATTGGTGGGGAGCGGCACCTGCTGGAAAACGGGTCCACCGAACGGCCCACAGAATGTGTAGTTTTCAGATTGCTTTCCCTGGTTCAAATGCAAAACCACATTGTGTTTTGTCAGTAATTCAGCCGGTTGGGTTCCTACCCTCTACATGAAGATGTGCTCTCCATTTCTCACAGTTCGAGTAGTGCGGGGTTCAAGTAGGCCCTTTGGCTCTGAGATTTGGGAAAACCATGGGATCAAGTTGGAGGTGGGTCTCCCAAACCACAGGTTGAGCAAAAAGCAGGTGTCACTCCCCACCAATAGATGGAGCAGCCCACCAGCCAAGCCCTCAATCCCGGCGGTTCTCGTACCACCGCCGGGATAGTGGACTTGCGAAATGGGCTTTTCAAACACAACAAAAAACAAAACAAAAAAAATGAAAGTCTCTGTCATTTGGTAGCAAGATGGGAGCTAATGTCACCTGCATCACACATAGGATTCTTTCAAGTTGCTTTAATTCTTCTCCGCACACATACTTAGTACTTACGAATGGCAGAACAAAGTCGATTTAATCCTTCTCTGGACACATACATAATACTTACGAATGGCAGAACAACACCATCGAGGCCGAAATACTCTACCTTGATCCTTCCTCTCTGGCTGCTTGCGGAACCACAGCCCAACTTGCCTTCCCTGACCCTACTACACATTTGCGACGGTGCCTATGATAGCCGGATGTGAGTGTTAGTTCTGTTCGCCTGTTTTGCACCACCAGGGAAGATCTCGGTTTGCGCTCCCACCAGGACTTTAGGCGCTTTAGAGCAAGAAAAACAAAAAGGCTTTCTAGCCAACTGGAAGTTGACTGGCGAAGATCATCTATGCACAACAGATGTTCAGGTATGTGGTCTTCATACTAGCATCGAGCATCTGGAATCGGGACGCTTTCATATAACAGGAAGCGGAAAGCGACTTAAAAAACCACCAGTACA